CCTACTGCCAGTTCAGAGTAATAATATCCTTTCAAAATGGCTGATCACTCACCCTTTTTGATTTTGTGCCTAATTTTGGTTCCTTTGTGACTTGGCTAGTTTTTGGCCTGTTTGCTCGTTTTGGGTTGTTCCATGTTTTGTCAATTTCAGGTCGCACAGGTAACAACGTGTACATTCCATCACTCAGGTTTCGAACACGAACTAGCCCCGGGTACCTAGGAAACAGGATTGTTTTAATGTATATAATATTATGCAATTGAGCATTCTGATTGGTCGAGAAGCAAGCATGACATGTGAAGTTGATCTATTTCAAATCGCGCAATGCAAACTCTTATCTCGTTTTTTGTGACAGTCTGAAAATTTATTGTTCTGTCGTAGTTCAACGAGAATACCAGTCATAAAGTTTCTTAAGAATTATATCATTACAAAATGTCGGTTCGTTCTTTAAGTTTTTATTACGTCTTTCACAAAAACGGATTAGCAGTTACGTAATTCAAACCCAACTAGTACCAACTAAGAACCATGGCATCATTCAATCGTTTGATCTCCGATTGGAGTGACAGAATATTCAAAAACTACTGTATCTGTTTATCTGATTAATACTACTTTTGATTATTTGAAGAACATTAGAAACAAATCTGACTGTTGGTAGACATGTGCACTGAGTGAACCATTTCAAGATTGCGGAATCTAGGTAGCAGAACAATAGTTGCGTGCGCCCTCTTGTGGCCACCATCTTCGTCTAGTCACAAGAGCTGCGTGGTGTTGCTATACAGGGCTCATACCACTAATTGAATTTCCATAGACGACAATGTTAACATATGACGAGATTGCTATATGAAAATGACGAAGAAAGTTGAAAATATGGCTCAAAAATGGGAAATCAACATGCCAGTAATCAACCATATGAAAAAAACTAACATGTTGGCCAGCTCAAACTCTTGCAAATCTCAGGTAAACAAGAAACACCTACTGTATTTGGATTGCACCAAGAGAAATCACTGGAAAAACACCAAGATTAGAACATCCATTAACACACAGAATAAACCCACAGGTACACAGCCGCTAAGTAGTAAACAAAAGACCACATGTTGGTCTCACCTCTGACCCAGGTGATTACGCCCTCAAACAGGGAGCACCTGAGAAAAATAATATTTAAAAAATTTCATTGGTTCTTGCTGGGCATTTAAATTAAGCAGCCATTGGTTGATTAGTGGCATGAGACCGTACAGCTGTAATAGTAGTCTGAGCAATTCAAAGAATGATGCGCGATAAAACGAATGAAACCAGTGTGCTCTCCGGCTAGTGGCGCTGTTCAGCGTCTGCATTTCGATTCCCAACGATTACGGGCCTAGAAATGAGCATGTAGTATAAAGTAGTTGGAGACTTTCACAACCCCCGAGTCTCGTAACTGTCAAACTAGATTCCGGGTAAAAACCGCCGAACACGATATAGGCATGATTGGCTTGGGATCTGAACAATATTGGTTGTGCTGTTGAAGTGATTATGCAAATTAGCAAACATATAAGTTTATTTTGGACACTCAACAAGAAATAGTTTCAAAATTCTAGAAAGCTTTAAAATACCCATGCCACCAACATGTGTATCGCATTAGAACGATGTCAGAACAATATAAATGTATATTAACCTTACGTACAAGTTGAATTTAATTCGTCGTTGTATCAAAACAACGGCGAATACAAACGTATGAATGACACCATAGTATTGGGAGAGCTGTCCACTGCATTGACCAATCACAATCGAATAAACAGTTTCCAGGCCTACTAGTATTCATTTTGACCAAAAATGCTTCAGTCTCCAGGCAACAATCAAGCCCATGCCATGAATTATAAAAACAAGTAATATATGATAAACTGTCATATTTAGCATAAATAACTTTTTAGTGGATGTATACACACCTACTAAATTCAAATGACTGACTAAATCAATAAGACTAGTAACAAACAATTTAGTTTATAGTGAAGCTGTTATATTTTTTTTCTCAAATCATACACACCTATTGAAAGACTTATTAGAATTATTATCACAATGACGCGATAATAATGATAATTTCCTTTCCACATTGTTGAATTAAATGTCTGCGTGAGTCACAATTACACATTCTTCCACAAAACTTGTTTTACTTTAATTGCGTTATAATCTTAATTATTGAGTCTTTAAGATTATATTAAGAACTTCTGATACAGGTATTTTTTGTTTTTACTTTGAAATGTACTAGATTGGTTCTGATAATTTTAAATCTGGTCTAAAGCGGTTAATATTTTAGTCACTTATAATATTTCACTTTTTTGTTGTTGATTGATGTATGTGGTCATGTTTGTCCTTGTGGCTTGGTGTGGTTATTTGTACTGTAAACTTGATTTGACATTTTCCCCTGATATGACTTTAAAACATCACGGCGGGTGTGGCATGCCAGCAGCAGATGCTTACCCTTCACGTACACCTGGTCTGACTCCCTTGTGGGGGTTTTGATGTTCCGCTTCCATCGATTTTGCCAGTATAGTTTTTCTAGACTGCTGATATTTGGAGAATGGCTTATCGGTACTATTATAAATGCATTAGAAGTTTTTTGTATAATAATTAAAAAAGTTTACAATTTATGTCTCTAAAATCGCCATTTTAATTTTAATATAATAATAAAAACATTTTTGGCTTTGCAATAATTTACTTGAAAGTTATAACAATAATTTTGACTGTAATTCAGTCGACATTCAAGCAAGCTATCCCTGGTCACAGTAGTGACCTTCGTCAAGAAATAAATATTGAAATTGAATAACGTACCGTTGGATGCGTAATTATTCATCATTTTAAAATCGGAACGTTTTTCATATTTTTTTCAGGTTTTCTACATTCCATGTTTCCAGTTTAATTTCCAATTAAAAGACTTAGGTCACAACACTTAGACTTAGTTCTAGTTTTCAAACAGTGGATCATGATATATTTCCATAATTGCAGAGATACATAATAACAATTTTCATGGAACTAAGGGGTCCACGAATGCTCCAATTGCATTTGTCAGAGGACGCAAATAGTTAATATCCATATTTATCGTGAAATTATTCAACATTTCTCTGTATTGAGAACTAAATATTCCAATTTATTTTGTGCATTTTACAAAGCCTCAGCGCAAATGACACATTTGCATTTGACAAAAACAAACAAACGTATTTTTGACCATGAAAGACAGATCATCTTAACTGACCTTTGTACATCATGACGGACATGAAATTGAAACCATGCTGACACAGGTACAAACATTACTGGTACCATAACAAAATGCTCATTATTACAAGATGGGAACAATTAAATTGCAAACCGAGATGACATTGCATGATTAATTTTCCAACTGCGACGCAAACATCACTTTCCAACCCAGTTCAAACATTTTTTTAGATGCACAACATATATACATTTTCTTTTGATATTTCTCATTTTTAAATGCTTTGTCAAATTTTTATGCAAGCTCACCCGTGTGAATACAGAATATAATATACATGTATAAACAACAATATTTGAAAAATCAAACACAGAGTCAGAGCACGTGATACGGACATGGCCTAAATTAATCAAATTTGCATTACCTTGGGTTACCTAGGATTCCGAATTCGATCAAATCTGTTAGGAGGTTGTTAAATATTTGCTTACACAAGATAAAAGGAACAAAAATAGTATGCAAATCAGCTACTTAGTATATGCATAGACATAGTCCAAAAATTAAGTTCAATATTTGTAATAATTGTCAAGTAATACTCCAATTGTTTAAAAAGTCGATAGTTTCCAAGTTTATTTTGTCTGATACCTTTTCTCCTATTCCCCTTTCGTTACGTATTACAATTTTACAATGTATTTATTATTATTTTTTTTTTAGATTTCAATGTTTTTATTTTTGCTGATGTTTTTGGTTCATATGAATTAGTTCTTGGTGTTTGCATATTTTAAAAAATGGATATCATTTTCATGTACAATTTGTTCTTCAGATTTTTGTTAACCAAGAATATTTGATGCAGGAGTATGTTCTCGAAAGGGCTATTAAGTTTACATATTTAATTGTCTGTTTTGAATAAAGCAATGAATTGGATGTCTACCCAAGTCACTGTAAATAGGTTAATTTTTGTAGATATTCAGAAGAAAGCGAGGTGTACATCTTTGATGGAGCGGGTTGAACTTTCGCCACTCCATACGTCACAGCCACAGACTATACTTGGATTGAATGAG